TAAACTTAATCTAACTGATACCTTGATTCCATTGGCCTTACCCAAAATTTAAAATTTTTAGTCTAGGCTTGACAGTTATAAAAACTTAGTTATGAACTTGCAATTTCTAAGTTCCCTGTTCTTTTGATTAAGAATTTTAACATCCCCCTTATTTGTGAAGCACTGAGGGTAATATTTTCTTTGCCCCCCCCCCCCACTTGACAACCCCCTCTCCCATAAATAATGACCACGCCCTAACAATGTAGCAGTTTTCAAAGGATAGGTTCGTTGCTATCTATTTTTGTAGTTTGTTTGCTTTGTTAGTATTATACATTGCAAGTACTTGGATTCACCACTAACAAGTATTTTACATATATGATTGTGCAGAAATGCTACATAGCATTGTTTAAGCTTGACTTTAATATGCAACATTTGACACTTCATAACATGCACCTTACTGAACACATCCTAGCTCTACAGTTGTCTTGCTCCCACAAGAGCTTCTAATGCAATATGTATGTTAACATTATGCTTGTGCATGTTCATAACAAAACTGAAATCTTACAGACTCGTCCTTCACTATGCTGCTTTGGCCCGTAAGAGTCTGCAGAGCCATAGTTTCATAATCTCGACAGTCTGTGCCGGTGCAGGTAACTAATTCATGGAAGAGAGACACAATTACCCAAAAAATATTAGCACAACTTTGAAGTTGGTTCCTCAATCCACGCTATCTCCTGAAGTTCTTATTGTATATGTTTCAGGTAGTTCCGTAGTTGTATCTCCCCTCACATTGCACCATAGCTTAACATGATATTTTTTTAACAACATGAATCTTGCAAGCATTCATAACATATTTTCATAACTCAACAAAACTTGAGTCCTCACTCTGTTAGCTGCAGTGCCCCCACTATGACATGCCCAAGCTGAACAAAGTCTCCACTACAGTAGCTGTAGCACCCCCACTCCATCTGCCATGCTCCCCACTAACAGCACCAGCCGACCATCCATTCACGACTGTGCCGCGACCTCTTCTTTGTGTGCTTTGCTAACCATATGTGCTTGATATGGTTTGGTACCATTTAGTTGTTTAGCACAGATCTCACAGTAATATTGTTTGGGTTGATCACTATTAACTGGACCTGTAGTCGTGCCACCATATGCTAGAGACAGAAAACAAGAATGAATTAACCCACTGGAGTTGTAATTTGCTCAAATGCATTGTACAGGGCTTGAAATAATGTTCCCAAAGTTCCCGATCATGGTGATCAGCAGTCATTTCCCTGCTTTTTTAGGTTGGAAACCCTGCTTTTCTGCCTATCATAAGCAATTTCTTCTAACATTGATCGGTGATCGGCTGTTATTTCAAGCCCTGATTGTATCACAGTGTAAATCACACTGATTATGTTACCTGACACATAAGGTTTCCAGACCGCTGCGGGTGCATCTTTGAAAGGACCTTCTTTCGTTTTTGTTTCCACTTGTTCCTCGAGTCTTTTGTTCTCTAACCATGGCAGGCTCGATGGCTTCTCTTCAAGAATCTGAAAATCAATTTCAACATTAGCCCATTCAGAGGGGGAAGGGAGATTTGCAACACCATGCAGATGCCAAGTTCATTAAAAACACCTGCAATAAACATCTGTGACTTAGTCGTAACCCACATGATACGTACCATTACATAAGAGCCTGGTATATAACCACTTTGACCACTATCTTCGTCTTTAACATTCCACCATAATGCTTCACTTTCGTGCACATTTAGAAACGTCACTTTCTGTCCCTGTTTCACAGTTAGTTCAGGGAAGCCTCCAGGCTGATCCGGGTTACTTTTGTAGTTGTATTTCACAAGCAATGTTGGGTTTAGTCCATGTATCGCTGCTAATGGTGGCCTGGGCGCTTGTGGACCTAAATATAATGGACATGCGTGCGTCAGAAAATTGCTCAATAGATTGTTAGATTTGTATGTTGCTTGCATGTAAGGATTAACAGGTGTAGATAAAAATAATTTCTATACTAATATATAAACTTTTATGTTAAATTTCCCAAGAGCATTTGGTAGTTATTGATCTGCTTATGTTTAACTAGCCTCACATGGATTGGTCAAAATAATTAAAACCCTCAAATTCTCATTACCCAATGAGCAGCAGCACTCTCCTTTCAACAAGTAAAATCATCTGGTGTTAGATGGAATAAAATAACAAAGTAGGGAGCATTGGGATGCAATACTGCTTATAGGGTTGGCAAAATACACGAGCAGCAGTCTGATTAACCCTTTGAGTGCCAGCACTTTCCCCTTGACAAGTAAAAGCATCTGGCCTTAGACAGGGCGAAATAATAAAGTAGAGAACATATGAGTTACAGTAATGTTTCACCTTCCGATTTTGAACCAGGCTTTCTCAATGGTTCAGATGACTTTAATGCCAGAACACCTCGACCACACACCCATCTTTTCTGCAGTGATGACATTTGCCTTGCACTACCTTGGAAATATAGATGCAAATATGCCGTGGTTATTGTTCCGGCACCCTGGAACATTAAGTTATTCGGCTATAGATCCGACAAAAGTGTTTTCCAATAACCATTTATTTAAAATGAACAATTTTTAAACATGCTCAAATGATACCAAATAGATTTCAGTTGATTTCAAGCAATTCCGCAGTGGACGAGTGGCTAAGGCAACTGTTGCCTTGCACGTGCTATCACAGTCGGATCAAATCCAGGAGTGGAATTTCAAGTGTATGGAAAGAGTTCTAAGTTTTTTTACCTGCAACGGTTTATAGGATGAGGACCGCCCGGACCGGTTTGGGTTAGAGTGGGGGACAGTACATGAAAAAAATTATTGTGCATAAAAACGCGAATATTGTATGTGCACATGTCTAATACTATGTCGGGTCAATAGCCATAGAACTTAGAGTTCCGATGTACATACTTTTATCGCCGTGCTTATTCATTCGATGATGTCAAGTCAAGACCAATTAATAGACCATGTGCTTTTAAGTGGGTTCACTATAAAAATCCCTCAGTCTCATTCTTTAACAAATATTTTGCGCATTACAATAAAACGCACCTATAAAACATGCTTCCATACTTCAATCATACCTTAAATAATTGTGCAAGCAAGAGCCAAAGTATTACTGTACTTTATGAAACACTTTTTGTCTTTTTACTTCTTTTTAATTTTTATATATTTTCAATTTTTTTAGGGCAATCGTTGGATATCATAGGGTAAATGGATATAAGGGAAAGGTAATTTAGGATCTCATGGGGTAGTCTTGTACATTACGGTACATTAAGGAGTAGCTAAGTACATATATGGGTATTACAAGGTAACTTGATATATAGAGGAATTTTAAGGATAATAATGTATAGTTGTGGATATCATGGAATAATTTAGTACATTATGCTACATTTAGGATTATTTTGGTATACATTGGGATATAATATGTTAATACAAAGTATTGCATAGGGTAACTAGGTTCACGAAGGGATTGAGAGCGAGATTACTCAGCAAGAAAATTCGAAAATGGATGCATGTCTTTTCACATTTGTGATGTTTTAAATTGATCTTTTGACCGTATAAATGTGTAGAGAATGGAGCGAAAAGATAACTCTCCATTTCAGAGAGATGTAGTTTACAATAAACTGCTGCCTTATAGCGAATGTTTAGACCATGAGGCTCTGGTAGCTTTAGAAGAAATAAAATATAATTTGGGTCGTTCTGTTGTCTTGAAAGAGCTGAGACCAGGCGCTCTGCATTGGAGTAATAGACTTTTCAGGTTTGTAGCTTCTATTTTGGTTTGCTCTTATTGTTGTTTTGTTATATACATAATGGACTCTAAGTGTCACTAGTGAATATATAAAACATGCTCTAAAAAAATGGCATAATTTTTTGTCAAGAGTCATGATACTGATTCAATGACTCAGCACACTTGATGTATAAACAACCCAAATCGACCTCTGTGATTTAATTGTTGAGAAATTAAATCGCAAGCAAAACAGGCAAACGTGAGCAACAAAGTTGTGAGCGAGAGATTGACTTGTCTCGCTTGTGGCATTTTTGTTTACATTTCGCATCAAAACTGCGAAGGTGATATGGGTAAAAAGTTATGTGTCATGTGTGAAAGTTGTGGGTTGAAAAATGCTCTAAATTTCCAGTTTTCGCTCAAACACTGCTTTTGCTAAATAATTCCTGCTTTAGCAAAACATGTATAAGCGACCGGCAGTGTCCAACTGAATATTTAACTGAAATTCTTCATATCATGCGTTCGAACTAAAGTCGAGAGCGCAGCAGGATATGGCCATCTGGCAAGTAACTAAAGAAATGTTATGATGCAGTTAAAGGAATCAATGTTTTCAAATGAAAGGAAAAATTAATTTGTATAACGCACGGGAAAATGCACCACTTTTGGTCCAAATGTGGTGCATTTTCCCGCGCGTAATACAAATTAGTACAAAATTTGCAAATTTGGCAGGGCTATATTTTCCTCATTTTACAACATTTTGCAACCAAACTTTGCAATTTTACCAATTTTAACATGCTCTTTCTAGCTGTGGTGGTGGATTTTGTTCTTCTTGCCTAGATCAAAATTTAGTCTTTTGCTGGAATTGCCGATTGGAAAAGTCCTTCATCTCACGCCAAGCATTAACAATTGACTTTCGGCTATTTTGCAAATTACTTTATCGAAAATTGGAAATTACTTTGTTGAAAATTACCCAGTTTTTACATAAAGATGAAGACTTCACATAAACAAAATTAAATTTCCATTAATGGATTTTTGAATGTAAAAGTTGATCTCGTACCATTATTGGTTATTATAGATTTCCCATATTAAAAATTGGTAAGTCTACCAGCCCTCGAAAATGAGGTCAGCATTCGGCAATGCCGACCTATCAACCTCGCAGGTCGGCAAATTTTTGCCGACGTTAATTCAGCCAAAGTAAGAATTTTTTGGTGCTGATAGCTGTTAAAAAGTCGGCGATTATAGAATTTGATTCATAGTTCGATTAACTAAACACACTTTGGTATAAGGTTTAAAAATTGACGGGTATTCTATAATAGTTGATCTAACACAATGGTTTAGAAAAGCCGTCATGTTACTGTAGTTCGCGTTTCTGTGGAAAAACAGATTTTAAAAAAAGCTGAGACGTGCCGACCTAGGTCAGATTTAGGTTGGCATTTTTTTGCCAACCTCAATTTTGACGGTTTTAGAGGGCTGATCTACTCCTTGGGCTGAAAAAGGAAAAGCTATTTCTTGTTGCAAAAACCCCTTCCCTTCAGTGGTTCATATCAGAAATCGATTTCTCCCTCTGATGGCACAAATGTTCTCCATTGGAGGGATCTGGAATAACCCAGTCGATGATGTCGAAGTCCTGTAATGGTATATGTTTTTCTTAAACCTTTTTGTTTTAGCTATATCAAACTATATGGCCACAGATTCTCCAAAGATGATCATGTGTTATTTATTAAACTCATATTGGAATTAATTATTGCTATCGATTTGGATTCACAACTCTTGACTGGCTTCTGTCATTTATTTATCAAACTTTTGAAGTAAGTTACAAAGTTATAATATTGTTCTTGAATCTTATTAAATAATATTGAATCTGATCTCCATGGTTGACAAATGAATTAAATTAACACAAATCGGAATATATAGACACAACAACAACAACAACAAAGGTTTAATGTTAAGAGGAGCACTGATGTTTTTAGTTTACATTAATATGTGGTATTTTGATATTAAAAGAGTTAGTGTTATATAAAACAAATCTAGGCATTTTTAACTAAAGATAAATGAAAATTACATACTTAAAATTAACGATCACATAAATGAATGTTAATTAAATTAACACGAATTTTTAAAATCCGCATTAATAAAGTGCATTGTTAACTATAATAAGGTATACTGTACATGTATATGCACATATATTGGTGGCAATTTCGACAAATGCTGTAAATAAAATTGTGAGACATAGCTCAATTTGCTTGTTTCAATAAGTGTCGAACATTTCAATTAACACCATACCCTTGCCATAATACTTATGTCCATCAATACATTAAAACATCATGGATCACTTTTACCAATTTTGATAAACTACAAAACAAGTGAAACTCCAAAAATTGATAACATTTTTATTTATCTACGTTTCGACTATATAATTTTTGGAGTTTCACTTGTTTTGTAGTTTATCAAAATTGGTAAAAGTGATCCATGATGTTTTAATGTATTGATGGAGATAAGTATTATGACTGAAATATAGTCGAAACGACTATATTATACCTGATGATGACTGAAATATAGTCGAAACGTAGATAAATAAAAATTTTATCGATTTTTGGAGTTTCACTTGTTTTGTATTTTATTAAAACACTCAGTGGTTCTAAAAATTTTTGATAAACTAGATTTACAAACTTTCTTACAACATAAATAGGAGGAAATTCTGTCTGTTATAAGTAACAAGGCTCTATTTTATGAACCTACTATACAAGTCTGGTAGTGGAAGTCAAATCTGAACCCCAAATCTGAACCTATTCCAATAATTATTGAATAGAATAACATAGCTTATCTTGTTTTTCCTTTATTTTAGAAAGCGTGAATTATTATCAAGAGATGATCTTGTGATTCAATGGCAACCACTATATCAGATATATGAGTCTATGTGTCACTCGAAGTTTGAGACAGTTGGCTTGAAAAGACATTCATGGTATGTCGTTCAGCATATTTTGTTCTACATGTCTGTGCATGAAAAGAGGTCAAATCATGATTTGACCTTAAATTAAAACATGAGATTTTTCCTTATCTGCTAAATAGCTACAACTGCAATCTGAAATGTTATTGCTTTTTTGCCCACAAGTTGTTTTGGGTAGGTTTTGGTTGCTTCTTTTAGCCAGGTCTCCAATATGTGATACAGTACTGCTCAGAAATAACCTAACACTGCGTTCACGTTTCATTTGTCAATTTGTGTCTGCAACACGTTCCAAACGACACGTTCCCCACTTTAGTTAAAAAAACGCATTCTCGCAAAAACAAAATCCTGACACCAAATGAAACCTGAGCTACTGTAGGGTTCGAATGTAGGCAATTTGTATGGTTACAAAAAATGGTAAGAAGTGAGTTAGAGAAAAAAAGTTGGGTCTTGTAGCACACTGGTACCATCAAGGTGCAATGTGGTGCTTGGAATGTTTATCAAACATATAATTGTTTTTCTTGTAGCCAACTTGAAGAATTGGTAAAGCAAGTCATCAGAGCGGCTAGAGTGTATGTGATCATCTTGTGTATATAGTTACTAAAAATTCTGACTGATTTCCTGGGCAAGAATATTTATACAGTATTTACCTCCAAATACAAGGCTTGCTATTGCTAGTACACGTAATGTACAAAGCTAACATGATTATTTTCTCATTCTAATAACTCAGGGCTTGAAGTAGAGCAAAAATATGGTCTGCCAGTCAACAATTTTTTGGCAGGTGAAATATATTTTAGCCTGCCATTTTTATTCATTGAACTGCCAAAATGGAGATGTCTCATATGAGTCATATTGTAAAAATCAATGTTTTCATGATATGCATTTTTATTATTTTTAAACTTGTCTATTTTACTACAGTACACTTGGATTTACATTTCAAATATAAACGTATTTAGTCAACTAAATGATCTAGTACATATGATTTTGTGATAAGCAAATGAAATGAAAGATATCTATAGAATTTCACCTGCCATTTTTTTTTTACTTTTGGCCATAAGATTGGCAGCCCGCTATTTCGAGCCCCGTAATTTTTTTTTATTATTCATAATTTATTTCTCCAAAATGGCTTTTCAGAAATAATTACAATGTAGCACTGCAGCATGATAGTATTAGTGTTTAAAGTCTTGGTGCACCGAAACCAATTTTTTTTACTTCTGGCCCGGCTGGAAGCAGATCTTAAAAAAGATCTGTTGGAACTTCCCAGCGAAACCAGACCTGAGTTTAGTTATGCAGTATGTTACTTTGACAGCTGTTAACCTCATAAAGTGGCGCTGTCATTAAAATTTTTATTGCTTCAAACTAAAGAACTCCTAAAACTGTAAAGTAACTTCTTTTGAAAAAATTGGTTCCCATGGTTTGTTCTTGAGACATTTCATTTTGTTTGAAACCATGTGACATCATTTACTCAATTACAATCTTTGCTATTTTTGATGGATTTTTTAAAAAAACAGTATGCTTACAGTCGATTTCACAAAACTTTGACCA